GGGGGGGGGGGGGGGGGGGGGGGGGGGGGGGGGAAAGGAATCGGATTTTACTTTATTCCTTTCCATTTTACCAACTTTATTAGCTCTAAGTTTTGTGTTAACAGTCTTTTTCCACTTTGTCTGTCCTGTCGTTCTTCGATTTTATTTATGCAAATTTGGTTGCCTCAGGCAAGAGGAGGGGCAAGCGGGGGAAGGGGGTGGGCGGAGGAAGCACTGCCCCTACCTCCCGATGCTATTGATACAATCGAAAATTCTTTCTGCTCCACCACAGTTTCCATTTGAGGCATTGTTTCGGCGTTGCAATATTCATTCATCTTCGTTGTGTCGTCGGGAGCGGCTGCTGTTTCTTGCTGGCACTGGCGGAAGGTTCCTCCTCGTTGCTCCCCTCTCCGTTGTTGGCTGGTTTTTAATTCAGCTTGCATGTTTTGTGCACTCATCGTTGCTTGCCTTCTTCCCCTTTCCACCTCCCTCCTTGTCCTGTCTTCTTCGCATTTGCCCCTTGTTGTTTCCATTGAGGGATGTATTTTTTTCACGTTCGAAAGGGCATTACAGATGGAACTGTTTGTTTGCTGCACCCGAAAAATGTTGGTCATTCAAGGGATTTTTCCTCTCTCTTTCTGAAAATTCTAGTCTTTAAAATTTTTTTCAAGTCTTGCACTATTGTGATGTTGCATGGGCTGTACAAGAGTCGATGAGGGGAGGGGGTGCTGAGGATGTGAGAGAGGAGCGTAAACATATGGGGGGAAGGGAAAGGGTGTGAGGGACGGGAGGGAAACGGAGGGGAGGGTTGAAGGGAAGAGAATCTTGAGAGGTAGCCTGCGATTTTGTGCCTGCCACAATTCTGAAGTTCAAGATTTACTCCTTTTTTCTCTCATGGGGTCACTTTTTTGGTTTGATTAGAAAAATCTGAAAAATTGTAAATTTCAAATTTTGCTCAGAATTTGATTCCCCTCCCCCCGCCCCCTCTCCGATTTCGGGAAAACTGGAAGGAAACGCATGACACAGTTTAGGAACCGGATGAATTGCTGTTTTTTTCCACATTGCGAGTGTAGATTTCTGAGGCAATATATGGAAGAATAGGAATTTTGAGGATTCACTGAAGTAGGTGACAAAGAGGAGGGACGCGAGGGGAAGGGATTTATTTCTACGAATTAATCGCCGTAGGAAATGACGATTTTGTGTTTATTTTTTCGTGTTTTTTCGCTGTCAGGTAGTATAGTAGTTGACAGGGATTGTAGAGTGCTTTTTTTTCATATTTTTGTATCTGTGTTTATATGTGATGCATGATCGAAGTGGCTGTTGCAATGAAAGTTCAGAAAGTTTCATCGAGACATCATAGCACTCACGTACACTTGTCAGCATATGTTTCCCAACCTATTTCATGGTTAGTTCTAGCCTTAGAACATCGCCTTCATAGCAAGAGCATTTGTCTTGACAGGGTCCAGTTGTGGTGTTAAGACGTATTCAGTATAATGAACTGAAACATACTAATTTCAGCTAGATCATAAAATCATAAAAATTTTTCCGTATAACTGTAGGTTTTAATCACTAATAATTCAAGTATACATCGCTATTAGCTAATATCTATTCTTTGAATAACATTTACAGTTCTGCTTGCGTGTTGTAAAAATTTTTAAGATATAAACAGTGAATATCCGCTGGCTAGGAGATTAGAAAAGGACGAGGGCCAGGAATTGTCTGTGCGTTAACATATGCAGTTTGTTTGGCGTTGCTGACCTATCTTGGAAAGAAACAGTCGAATTTTGATAATTAATGAATACACTGAAAGCGCTGCTTAGATCTTCCACATAATAGATGACTTAGCACTGAATATTTTATTGTGGCATGAAAGTGAGACACTCATTTGATACAGGAGTTAAAATGAGTTTCATTTGGAATTAACGATCCGGTTTTCTAGAAATTTGAAACAAATAAGGGCTCGAATTTTGCGTTTTGCTACTAAGAGAGATACATTTGAAAACTTGATCCACGCGAATCCCCTGGAACAGGGCACCAGGCTGAGGCTTTTCGTTACGCTGCTCGTCGTTTTGCAGCACTATTGAAGACGAAGGGCAGAGTGGATCATCTGATACATCCAAAGATGGTTGCGACACAACGACTTCATTCCGGCGGACTTATTGTGCTCACTCCGCTTATACATAGCTCCGAGCACAACGTCGTGCGTATCTCACGGTGAGCCTTTCGAGTTTCTGCGAATTTCAGATTTCCGATATTTTGTAGAACGAATTCGAATGCCTGAAATTTTTTGCCAGATTTTTTTCGATGACTAGTAATTTCTGTTTTTTTTTTTTCGCGATTTAAAAAATTACAATGAACAAAAAACATAAAAATTCAACAATCACGCAAAAAATCTAGATATGAAGTAATCGCTTGAATTTAGTATTTCCACTTTTCCCCCAACGCTTTCGAGAGCTTTCCTGTTAGAAAGCGGAAAGAATAACAAAAAACTGAGAAATGCAGTTTTTGCACCTGAGAGACGATGCAAAGCTTTTCACTCTCCACTTCTCAAGAGGATAAGCAAATATCATGTAGAGCAAGCTCTGTTCCTGTTGAATGGGGAGGTTTTTTTCACAATTTGATGAATTTATGCTGTCACTATTGCTCATGTTCCCTCAGCAACAGCTGCTGAAGTAGAGGGACCGTATACGTCTGTTTAGTAACGCTCTGTCGAAAATAGCAACGTACGAATGCGAAACGTGGTCACACTGATAAATTCTTTAGTAACACTGTGTTAATGAAAGACAGTGACATACGGATGCCAAACGTGGTCACACTAATGATATCCTCTGTAACAATGTTTGGAAACAGCGACATATGGATACGAAACGTGGTCACATTACTGGCCTCTTCAGTAGCACTGTACTGGCAGTAACGCGCGATTGCGAAATGTGAGTACGCTGATGAAAACAGAAAAGCGAGCGCTGACTGTGAGCGAGAAAATAAGTTGAACTGAAGGATGCTTGCTGTGTCTTTTCGTGACCATGAAAGCATATCAAGCGCTCTTTCTAATGAGTGGCGTGTAAGATATAATTGCGACCACCTGAGAAAGCCAAATCCGATGAGCAGTGCATACAGCTTGCCTTGTACGACATCTGTTAGTGTTGCGGATCAGCGGATGGTACGCTACGAAGTAAATGACCACTCAAAAAGTTTCCGGAAAAGTAACTTAAATATACCGGGCAGAAGATGGATGGTAACTGGTGGCACGCAGTTCATGACAGGAAAAACTGACATTTCGCTGAAAAACTGGGATTTTTATCAAAGTTTTTAATAAATTTTTCTGTTCGGCTTCTCGCAGTTCTTGAATTTGCCTTGAGCACTGTTAAGATTGGCCACTTATATTTCAGTTGATTAAAAAACGAGAAAAGCCTACGATCACCGTGCGCTTTTTATCTTTCTTTCGAATCTCATTTCTGAGAAAAAAAAGATAAATAGCGTTTTCTTTTGCACTCTGTTAACGAGTTTTTCTGTTTTTTCAACTTGATTAATACCCCTCATCACTTTTTATAAAAAATTCAGACAGTACATATTTTTTCAAAAAATTTCCAAAATTTTCACTTCTATCCGTACATGCTTTTTCATCTGTGTATACGACTTAGGGATGGAACAGAAACGGCATCTACGTTTATTTAGCTTCGCATGCAATACCTTGGTCCATCTCGGTTTAATCTAAACATTACTAGGCGACAACCGGTGAATGCTGTATATTTGTGAGTGGCACGAAAGGAAGGAGAGAGGGAGAGGGGGAAGAAAAACGACCGCTTGGGCAGTCCCGGAAGAAGCAACGGATTTATTATCAAATGCAGTTTCTGAGTACTAGCGGGAGATATACAGCCAAGAATCGGAAGGTCTGGGACAGCTATTTCTGGCATCACAGAACATGGCGTATCTACACTGATACCCGGATGGTCTTGATATTCTTAGTAATTTATCTGTTTATCAAAAAAAAAAAAATCATTTTTATAATTTTTCAGTCAAATTAGAGGGGTTTTTTCTTCAGCAAAATTGATGTTGAAATGGGCGATGTATTGCATGTTGCTGGAGGTGAACATGCCGGGATCGTGGTCAACAGACTTGCCGATGAGAAGCCAAGTTAGTCTTTTAATGAAAATCGCCATATCAGATAATTAAAGCACACAATGCTGAAGTGTGTGTCCGTAAAGTAGGCCAAATATTGTGCTTATAGATTCGAAGTGTGATGTTGCTCTCAGCTTTGCGGTTTGGCTTCGAAGCGGCGATATCAAAAAACAGGTAGAAGTCACGGATTTGATTTTGATAAAATGTTTTTGTTCCTCTGCCATTAGTAAGAAATGGACATGTTGGTAGAAATGCAACAGGAAAATGAAATAGTGCAGGAGATTTTATAGGAAGATTTCGAGAAGGGATTATAGAGGAGGCTATATATTCGGGAATTTTATAAAATAGAAAATGTTAATTTTGTGCAGAAATTATAGCTTATTCACTGTTACAAATAGTACGAAACTTATTCACTGTTATGGCTTATTCATTGCTACAAGCAACACGAATAAAAAAAAAGTTATTTTTTTTTAAACAGAATCGCGATTTATTTATTTATTTTCAAACAGAATTCCGTTTTTTATGCGTTTTTTGCAGCAATGCAATGCGAAAAACGCATATTGACGAGAGGTTGTCTG